GTATATATATATATATATATATATATATATATATTATTGTGACGAAAATACACTTCTTGGGTACAAGTATGTGAATGAACTGACAAAAGGTTATCGGGTACGCATGCCTGTCGAGCGGCAAGAAACGCGAAACCAGTGCTGTGCTTCCAGGGGAATTTGGTCCAGTCATTCATATACCACTCATGATGATATGTATCTGTATGTGTATTCTATTCGTTTCCCGGTACCATCCCGTGATGAAAGATGTTTTTGTTCGGCTTTGTTTTGGTCTACCCCTTGCTAGTTGTCTTCTTGCTGCAAATGCTTCGAGGTTGTGCTCACAATTATTGATCTTGAGGTCTGAGCATTTCTCCTGTGTCAGTATATCGCATAACACTTGTCCACGATCCACCGAGCAGTGCAGTGGCAAATGAGTCTGGTTGTTTGAACTCTCACGTGCATTTTGTTTTCCGCGACGTGTTATCGTCTCACGTTTCTGTACATCAACATAGGGGCTAGTTGATGAAGTGAACCATTGATCCTGGGTTCAAAGTATGCTTTCAGTATATCGTTCGCTATGAAGGGGAAAAGTGGTCATTCATATTGTGTAATCGAGCTATGATTCAAAAATCGAGTACGTATTCAATTAAGGAATAAAACAGATCACCTTACGGTTCTGCCGGTCTAATTTACCATCAACGACTGTGACTTGTCCCACATGATAGGCCAGTCGTTCCTGGTCATTTTCTTCGTAAGCAAACCCATGAAATTAGATCAGAGAAACAAACGGTATGTTCTGCTTTCAACAAAATTATTTTCGATCGGTTACTAGGTCTCGCATTTTAGTTACCAACTACCTTTGAGCCCCAATGATTTCTATCGACGCAGTGTCCAATTCGTACCTCGCAATGCTCATCCCTATTGACTTCGTTTTCGCACATTCAATCTCAGGGCCTCATATAATTTGGGTGGAGTTTGATTCCGAACTGCGCTTCAGTTGATTTTTCTTCCGTTTATATTTGTTGGTTCTTGTACGACTAGTCTAATCTGATTATGACGCTGCTGTATATTTGACCAATTTGTTGTTGTTGCACGCAAATTGGCGTGTGCGCACGCCCATCCATGTTTCACCCCCTCGTAGGGGCGGTGTACTCTCACTTGTCGGTTGATCATCACACTATGGTTGTTGTTGTTGTTGTTGTTGCTGTCATCATCATCATCACCCAAAACTGTGCGGTAATCCCGAAATCGATGGGTCTATGATTGCGTGTGTGTGCTCACATCGATGCGGATAATCATAGTTGTCACCATCGTCATAACCTGTGGTCTCCCCATAAGAGACGTGCGAAGCCAGTCACTAGTGAGTTAAACTGAGCTGACTTCTTTTGTTGCTCATTCTGGCTTTTCTTTCTAATCCGCTAGAAATGGCATTGAACTCCCTTAGGGAACCGGTTAGAATCACGAAGTACAACGTGTTAATATGTCATTGATTCTAGATCAAAGGCTTTTAGACTAAGTGGTGGTTTAAGGGGATAGGTAGCCCTGATTCTCTCACTACAACGCGTAAGCGTTGATCAATCAAGTTTGCTTTACTCTTTCTCTCGCAGGATTGAGTCCCCAAGTTGTGCTAACATACTGTCCGCTTATGGAAACTAATAAGACAACCCCGAGAAAATGGTAGTTTTAGAGCACAGCGACTAACTTTTGAACAATCTAGCTACTAGCTACATCGTTGATGGTGATATCCCCATTGCGCACCTTACCTATCTCCTTCTCCACTCTTTCGATTTCAATAATTGTTCTCATTATCCGGGCTAACTTGAGCATGCTTTTTGTATGTGTCAGTGCACGTGAAAAATAGCCTGCATAGTGAACTTGTTGCGGCAAAAAAATTTCCACACTGAGTCTGTCTGGTATGCACTACTATGTGAGTGAGTTACAATTGATTGGGTGCAGTTTACCATTGCTAATCGCTATTTCAGTCCCCCATAGTCTTGAAGAAAGTTTTTGTGAATCCTGTGATAAGGATTAAAAGAAAAAATTTGCGGATTATCCATTAGTTAATTGCTTCGCTTCATCCTCCCCCCCCCCATCCGCCGTCCTCGACCCTCTTTGCCTTCAGGTGATTTGGAGAAACTCAAATCTAATCCGATCCCCATCCCAGAAGGAGCGTCTTACTTTATTCGTGTACGTTACTACGTGCAACGTGATATTGTGACCGGTCTACAGTACGATCATAGCGTCTATCGAGGCCCTATCCGAGGTAAGGATTGTCCAAGAAGATTGATTTGTGCACACTGCATTCAGTAAATACGTACACGGACTGCCTCAAGACTTTTTGTCACCCATTCACATTTTCTTATATCATGGTGTAGATAATCGTACAATTCAAGCCAAGAGCGCACTTTATTCATCCAATGTGGACAAAATTTTCAGTGAAAAGAACACTATCACTTTTGCTTTAGCATATGAGCTATTAAAACTAAGTTTTAAATATGTGAAAAATAGTTACTCGGATGATAATGAATAGGACACCGAGAACGCGTAAGAAAATAATGAAAAATTCCAGTGTGAAAATTTACATTAGACTGTGTATAAGTTTGTTTGATATTCGTTCCCTAAAATCCAACAAACGTGAAAGGTAAGGTATAACGGAGTTGTGAAAAGCAGTGGTACGAGTATATAAAGGTTTAAATTTATTGTCACCGGCGTGCTTCGGACCCTATGGTCCGAGGTTCGAGCCCCGCCACCCGACTTTGGTGGTAGGCAGCTCTGCTGTTGTCCGGTTCAATACCACGCCTAACTTATCGGGGCCTTATGTGGTTCGCCACTCCAAGTTCCGGGGCTTAGGTTGCCGATTTCAACCACTGAACACCAGGTCCTCGTGACTATAGTTTACCCCGTCTGCTGTTCACCACACCTAGGTGTGTAATAAAAAAATTGCGTGTTACAGAAGTTGAAATGGAGCTAGATAAGGCTGTGTGTAAAGTATGGGATGCATCGGACAAGATAGAGTTACACAGACGGTCACCCGCCTTAAGGTGTTGGTTGACAATGAAATCAACTAGCTCCTCATAAGATGCAGCTCCATATCTAGAGATTCTTTTCGGAGAGCACCTAATTACTATGAAATCCTTAGACAGTAGACCAGGAAAGATAACGGGAGAGCAGTAGGTCCAATGGCATAAAACGCATAGGAAAATAAATTTGGAGATGATGGCACCCTCAGATGCTGAAGGCGTGAAATATTAAACGTCAACTTTTTGACTTAAAGAAATGTTTATTCTATGTAATAAGACCATTCGAGGTTAGCAGACAGCAACATATTTGAAGTGTTGTGACCTTTCAACTTTAAGGTTATTGATCAGGATATTGGGACCAGATGATCCAAAATGTGTTGATGGTCTACAGTCAATGGAAAATGAAACCTCAATGCATTTGTTCGGGTTTAAAGAAAGCTTAACACCATCAGATCATTTAGAAATGGAACTTATGGCTGAATGAAGCGGGTTCGTTGAAGAGTTGTTGTTGCGAGATGCACCACCAATAACTATGTCATCAACATATTTAAGTGGAAACATTTGGGATGACTGGCACGTTTTGGATGTAAAAGGAGAACAGAAAAGGAGATAAAATTGGACCCCGCACTTCACCGTGGTTTACAGTAACAGTGGAAGACTTAATACAATTGAGAGGATTGGCGTCGGTCGGTAAAATAGTTGTGCATCCAATTCAAAAGATGTGGCGGGAGATTGTTGCCGTAACAATATCAATAGGATGTTTCTGTAGGCAGAGTTAGACGCGTTTGTGTAGTCCAAGAAACAACCATGAACAATCTTTTTTTGGTCTACAGTGGATGATACAGAATGTATAAGTCTAGCAACCGCATCTAAAGTAGAGCGACGCTTACAATAAGTAAACTGATTGGAGTCACGAAAATCAAGATAAGAGGCTAGATGCTTGATAATGATTTGCTCAAAAGTCTTAAATAATACTGAAGATGAAGCAATAGGCCAAAATGGACCCTTTTCTTTCCTAAGTACTGGTGTGATACGAACATCATTCCATGTGTTAACTAGTCTTTCTGCTGACGGACATGTAATAAAGATGAATGAAACCGTCTGTGCGAGGAAGTTTGCGCATGCTTTTAGGACCTTTGGGGATAACCCATCAGGACCAGCATTCAACTCCTTCAAAACTCGCTCTGTTGTGACAGTCACAGGAAGGTGTACATTGAGTGACAGGAAGACGTGAGAATGATGGACCTGAAGCATTTGAAAATAGGGATCGGTTTGTGCCTTGCGGAGTGTGCGCCATCTTCACCGGGGGCCACCACTTAAGAATACTTCTGAGTTAAAAAACAATGTGGTATGTGTGCACAAACTAGTGACAGTAAATCTGTATTTATTTGACAATCAAAAGACGACAGTCATGCTGACTGGGTGCAATTGATACCATACGGGATTACAAATGCTCATGCACGTAACCGGGAGAAATCGGTTCAAAAGAGGGAGGGATTTTGGGTGAACTCGGAACTCATTACTTAGGGCGAATGTCATAAGAAAGATGAATCAATGCAGCATCCAGTTGTTAACGGCACAGAAAAAAACGGAAATTCGTGTAAATTCACGGGGAAAGGCATTCAAAATCCAGTTTTCCGTTGGATTGTCTTTTAAGAATATAATCCAAGTTTCCTGATGAGCATTAGATAGACAGATAGATGGTTGGATAGATAGATAGATAGATAGATAGATAGTTGGATAGATAGGTAGATAGATAGATAGATAGATAGATAGATAGATAGATAGATAGATAGATGGAAGCACGGTTCAAATTTAGTCATCAATTGACAAACCCAAACAAAACAACTCCTCATGTAGAACATATTTTCGGGAAAACGAGAGCGTTAGCCACCGTGCGATAGAAACTGGGTGGTAATAGCACAAGATATCTCAAAACGTAGTTCACATCAACAGCAATACACGTCACACTAGACAATTAAGGGCCGTGGAGAGAAAACCGATGAATAGCAGTTATAACTGACCTGTTTTGCAAAGCAACTTTGTCAAGAAACAGGTAACGCTGATGAAGTAATGACATATTTAGGCTGAGCTAAAGAACCATATTTTAAATATGAGCAAATCTTACATCTGACAACTGGCACATAAAAGGAAATATATTTAAATGGAAATGCATCTGGATTAACACCTTTTCGCAATTTCCAATCCCTGACTCGGTTTCTGTGCTTTTAGCAATATATATTCAATATGGGAGGAGACCGTTCCTGACTGAGTGAGTTGTCTTATGGTAAAATTTACACCGGTCAGTGACACTCATCATACAAGAGATATGTGTGCCCTAGAGAACTGTAGCATTCACCTTGCAGACAACCGTTGCTGTTGTCCGTGACTGAACTTTCGCAAGCAACTACTTTTATAGCTTTCCAATGTACTTCCAAACAGACAGACTAGATGATGGTAGGCCGCAAGTTGTGGCGTTGTGAGGTACTACTCACATTTGTGCAAAATAATAATGATTTGCAAAATAATGCGGTTAGTGGTTTCTTTTAACGGTCAAAAATGAACCAGACTTTTTGGAGTGAATTACTGTGGTCGAAATGATAATTGCGGTCTGTTCCATTCATCAAACTGTGTGCTGCGAGAATTGTGATGACATGTTCAAAATGAGGTATTTTATGATACGTAAGCCAAATTATTCATACCGTAACTCTGGTTCGCAATAAACAATTCACTTTGAGCAAGCACAATAGTTACCCCCATTGTGCGGTGGTTGTCTCACATGTCTAATGCCTGAGAGGTACTTCGGGAAGATTTACCAGCGACGTTGTAGATGGATCTTCATTTGGGTAAGTCGAATACCGTAGTCCCTGTTTTCCGTTTCGACTTCACAATACGCTCTAAAATGAGCACCATGGTCGCATGAACAACTCGGTCAATTTCGTGATTGTGTGGTTCTTTCTCTCTTCTGTCATATCTCGATGCCAGTTTGACAGCGCTCTGTAGACCGTTGTAAAAGATATCTGTGGTGATCCTAGCCTACGAGATGACGTCTACTCTGGAGCGGCGTGTTGCAGTTTCTGGACACGAGCAATCAATCGAATTTCAAAGGTAACGTCAATGACGTGCGCACGTTTCACTCCCTCTGACTGCACTCCATAGACAGATGGTATTAGCCAATCCGAGACAGTGCAGTCCAGACAGAAACAGAATGATGCAAGCAATACTGGAATGCGATATTATTTAATCGCCCTCATTTCTTCCAATAAACGAACTATCATTCCTGTGGCCTTTTCCTCGCGTCTCAGTGACGTGGGACATTGCGTGCTAGCACCATTGGTATCCAGTGCTACGTGCTCCAGTCCGTGATTACTAGTCCCTGATTTGTATTCCATGATTTATATTGCGTGGTTTGTATTCCGAGTCCAGTGCGCATTACTACTACTATTACTACTACTACTACTACGATGATTACAGTATCTCGGTACAGTATGTCGGTTTCAACAGGGGGTGCGGTGGGGTAGACCACAACTTGACCCCGATTTCGGCAGACGCTCGGAATCGCGCTAGAGACAGTCGAATCTATTCAGGGTCCAGAAAAATGAGAATCTAGTGGGCATGCTAACGGCATGCAAGTGGATGCCGAGAAGTTCGGAATTCCCTGTTGGCCCGCTGTGGTCAAACCGTTAGGACAAATTTACCATCGGAGTTTTGGTGCTCCGGGATCTATGTAATCTGGTATTGGAACTTCCGAAAAACACGTTATTACTGCGACTGCGCTCGACACTGATACAGCAGGCAATGTGAAACGTTTCCTTGTTTTGATTTGGGGATTTCCAGTGCACTGTCGTCTCACTCCTGCAGCTAAACGAACGCACGGTTGGGTTGTGTATCGGGTGTAACGTGGTACAGAAAGAATGTGTGATGGCTATCCATCAAACGTGGTCTACTAACTCTGGTAAGATATGGCTTTCATATTTGAGGATACACTTCAAGCAGTGATGAAACCAGAAGAGAATTTAATACGATTACGCTTTCTGGCAAACTCTTACAATATATTCCTTTGTCTACTTTGAATGAGACTATTTGTTAAAAGAACACTGACTGGAGCACACGACCGATCAGCTAGTACACGTGTACAGAGAATAAAAGAATTTATTATCAGTCAACTAGACTCGTGTTGATCTAGTGACGGTTGCTGAAGTTCAAAATCAAAGTTCATAATTTCATGTGTATTGAAACTGTGACAAGGAAATCCCATAGAAAATGGCCGGAACAGATCGATACACTGTCAATGACCCTTTGATAATTTCGTTATTTTTATCCAGAAGACAAAATGTTCTATTCTAAACGGTCAGTGGTACAAGAACCGTTACAGATCTTCAGGAGCAAAACTGATGAAAACTCATCAGTTATCAGAATTGTATTTTCTGTTTTCTGGCAGCTGCAAATTTTGTTCGAAAACCTGAACATACAATGCGCGATGTGAGTATTCTTGGTTAGAGTAACAGTAGGACTAGCAAATGCACACACGTGTACACAGTTTGGGGGATAGTGTGGTGTCACGAAATGTTTAGTTGAATCATGAATAAAAACTTGGATAGAATACAACAAAAAAAACTAAGCCGTACGTGAATACAGCATAAAGTCTCCTGGAAAAAACATGCACAAACCATAAATGACGCTTCGATAGACAGATTTTATTCCTAGATCTGAATGATCAAATGATAAATATGTATAGATTGATTAGCTTCCAGAAGTTGATAATAAGAAGATAACACATAACATGCATCGGAAAAGATAAACGATGGCACCTTCGGTTTGTTCTCATTCAAACAAATGTGGCAGTCGAGTGTTGGATAATACATCGGTATGAATGTAAAGCAAAGCCGTGTACAGTCGTAGCAAAATCGCACCCGATCGACTCAACACATTCACGCTATTGAAACCCTCAATGACCTGACGGTGTTCCCTCGGGCGGGAACACAAAAACTCAGGACACAACAAAAAACGTGAATTCGTCTCATGCAACCGAATCGATCCGCCAGAGGCTGTTCACTTGAGACAAGTAACCAACATCGGCTGATAGAGCACACAGCAAAATATACCCCTGACACGCAACAACAACAACAACAACAACAACAACAACAACAACAACAACAACAACAAAACAATACGAGTCCAAGGAATGGGCTTTTTCCGGTCCACGAAACAACCAGACTGCAAACTGGAAGTTATTGGATTACCGTAGTGAGAAAAAATTAGCAGTCACAATCACACCGTATAGCGGGCGTAGAACGGTGCCCCGACCAGTGTATCAGACGACGAATTCAATGATGTGTCTCTTTTTTCAATCGACGAAGCTGAGGCGAAAAAAATCGAACTCTTATTTGGCCATTGCGTGTGTGTTCACGGTATGAGTAGCACTAAAAATGGAAATGGCCGAACAAGCTCCCCCTCTCAGGAAACCGAAATGGACCAATTTTCGCATATGCTCTTTTTGCGGTAATAACAGTGTGGATGGGAGAATTTCTGATTTGATTAGTTTACCACTATGCATCGGTCTGTGTTTTTTTGTTTGGTTGCTTATTATCGGTAAACATTCGCTCCTATTATCTCTAGTCCAGACAACAAAAGGTGAATAGAATACAGTCACATCTCTGATTGTGATCGGTGGGTGATTTAGGTCGCAGGAATGGAGGGAATCTGATTTCAAGGGAACAAGTTTGTTTTGTGTCTGGATGCGAATGGCTCTCAAACGAGACACAAAGAGAGAAAGAGAGATCGGATGGTTCAATTCAATTGATTGGATTAGTCAATTCGATTGTTCAGAGGCACCAGGCACTCTCCGAATCGATTGAACCATTCGCACAAGGTGATAACCGTCGACTGTGTAGCTCAGGGGTGAGGGTTTGAAGTTCGACTTCTGACAGGAACACAAAATGTACGCACTGCTGAAGAGTCCAAAATAGGACGAAACAGCTGTGCAGTGCTCTTTGTCGATTATCACAAACATTTACATCGAATTTCAATGTATTTGCCTCGTGCGGAATTAACGATCTCCCGAAGAGTGAAATCCGCACCCAAGATCATCAGCAGTGCCTGGTGTCTTTGAATAATCGAATGGGCTAATCCAAACTTGGTACTCTATGTAGACACGATTCAGTGTCACCATTATTCGATCGATCGCTTTTGTACGGAATATTGTGAGTGTGATTTCAGCTGGTTTCGGTTGTTAACTTGGATGGCGCCGTTGGACGGAATGATGAGGACCTAGACAGTGAACAGTTCGTGTACGTGTGTGAACTCTAAGCTCCCCGACCCCTTCCCGTAAAAATCATTTTTTTTCCAAGAAAATAACAAGCAATGAAGATCAGACAGCGATCTAACGCAGACTCTCATACACGTCTCGCCATCCATTGTTTCGGTTACAAAACTGGTGAGAATGGCAAACTATGGAAGGTTACGCTTGGTCGACGATAACGGAGTTATGTGTGAGTTTAGGTGATTCTATGGATTCAGTGCCACAGTATTACACCGGCAATGGATTTACGCGTTACAGTTGACCAAGTTAGAGCAACCAATTTGGACCAAATCGAATTTGATACTCAGAAATACCACGAGTAGAGGAGCACACAAAAGCCAATTCGTTAGTACGGTTTGGGTCACTGATTGGTTTCCGGTTCACAGACTGTTTTATCCACTTGAGTAATATCAGCAAATTTAATGAATTGTTGTTTCATTGTTTTACGTCTCGTTAGCTGATTATCTTTGCTATCAAAATACCGATCTCAGACCATGTCCAGTACTGCAGTGATGTTTTTGGAGTCTACTGTGATGAAGAAGAAACATCGCGGTGGCCAAACCATATCGAAGAAGTATGAAAAAGTTAGCTTCAAGCTTGGCTTCGATTAGTGCAGCCCGTCTTCCAGGTTGGGACCAAAGAAATGAAGATTTTCGTTGGTTAGAGGCGCTAAGAGATATGGTCCAGAATAAAAGTCAGTAGAGCAAATGATGTACAGTTTGTCCGTTGAAATCCCCTGTCACAGAAAAAACGATAAACTGATACACAAAAATATCAATATATGGACGGTTAAACACACACACACACATTCTGATTTTATTCCTGTTACCTGCTGTTTTTCATTGTATCTCAATTCACCCATCCCCTGTTTTTGTTATAATTGTTGTATCGTGATATATATATATATACATATAAATATATAAATATATATATAGTTTGTTGAGAGCCACAAACCTCGCTCATCTCAGCACTAGCCTCCGGGGTTATGACTACATTGGAAACTCATAAACGGACTACTTATTTCACGAGTGTAAATAGAAAATAAGAAACGGTCTGATCAGCTGCCCGGGGACCGAGCGGGTATCATGCTTGCGTTTTGCCTGTGAGGTTCAGGGTCCGATCCCCAGTTGGGTCGATGAACTTGCACTACTGATGAGACCCAATCAGGTCGAAACAGCTGTCCAGTGCTTTCTAGCTTTTCAGTTCATGCTTTGTTTTCTATCTGGACGACGAATTCCCATTTAAAACATAAATATATATATGTGTGTGTATAAATGGAAAATGGATCATGCCACACACAGCAGTTTTCCCTTATTCGTGTGTAAACCACGGGACCTGCATTCAGAGGCAGTTAGTTTCCAAATATAAACGCAAAACTTGCATTTGAATTCACATGAATACTTTCAACGTTTGAATTTCCTTAACTGTTTTACGCGATGCAGATCTCATTTGCAGGTTGGGGAGTGAATTTGAAACAAACAGACTCATTGCGATAATTCTGTGTCAGGTCATGTGACCTCGTGTGTGAGCTGCAAACAAGATTTGCATTGCATAAATCCCATCGGAAGTTCAAGTATAAGAACGACTAGAAAGAAGATTGGTAGCATAGTTTTCCCGCAACGAATTTGAATAAAGAAGCCAAATGCACAGGTTTGCACAATGTATCCTGGATCATTTCGCTGCATCTGTACACGTGCATACTGCAGTCTATGTGCTCATTAATGTATGGTCAGTAAATAACAGAATCATAGGCGGAGAAAGATTGCGGTCAAAATTACTCATCAAACACATTTGTTACCAAGGTAGCGCCAGAGGGATAAGCCATTCACGCTGTCTACATAGTTTGGGATGGTAATTTTGAATGGCTAATGCCTCAGTGTATTTTAGAACCTTGGTGTTGTTTGTGTTGTAGAGGATTCTGAACACCCCGCGCAGCATGACACAGAAAGAAGATTACTGAATACGCATATTTAACGGACGTAAGGACCACGAAAACGGTCGTGTGCTTCTAAGAAATTGTGTCCACTTAATCGTATACTCATTTTAACAACAGGTGGGATTTCTCTCACGAGTATAAACGTCGAACCGATAGATTCATTCAAACCTCGTTTCACAATCACTGTATTCGAACCATACGAATAGGATAACTGCTTGAAAAATTGGGTAAATGTGCACCCACCAAACTCTTAATGTCATCCTCATTAGTGTGGTCTGAAAAGGGCGAAGCACTCTGGAATGTTCGCTCCAATATAACCGTGGGAAAAAAGTGGAAACCAGGTCAAATGATATTGCGACGAATTTGGCTAACACGGACTTCGCTTCCCCATTCCCCATAACAAACGGATTTCACTTCGATCCGGTGCTCTTCGCGTGCCCAACATGTGCCGAATGGATGAGATTGACACAAAACGGACTCTTGCTTGTGATACTTCAGGATAATCACTTGATACAGACATTCATAACTGATACATTTTTTGGAAGGGAATAGGGTTAGTTAAACTTATTTCCATCACCCAGCTGTAGAATATACTTAAACAAAAACAGAATATCGGGAAAGTAAACGAGTTCTAGCAGATCGCTGATTCTTCGGTGATTTGGCACAATGTTTTAGGAGAAATATCAAAAACAGTATGCAATTCCGTCAGACGTGTCGCTTTTCACGGATGTGGCGTTTTATTTCACTGAGTGCTTACCTCCATTCCATACCCACATTTGTCCGATTCGCTCCAATCGGTGGACCGCCGTACACCTCGTTCGCGTAGACTATGGCCGCGGTGTTCAGTTGCTTCACTTTGGCCTCCCTCGTGTTCCGTAAAAATGTTTCTTCGGCGGTGGCTTGGAGCCGAGCACGCAACGCTCGAATGCGGGCATCTGCAGCTTGTCGAAGTTGAACCAGTTCCGCGCTCAATCGGGACACCTGCAAATTCGACGAAAACATATTCACACTGAATGAAATTATTAAGACAGTGCGAATATATAATGAAAAAAGAATATACCATGTGATCAAGGTACGGGTTTGAATCCGAAATCGAACGAGTTGGTTTAAACCGGGAAATGGAAGTTCGAAAATGAATATGATACGCGGTTCGGGGATCAGGTTATAACTGCTTTCAGGAGAAAAGACTTTGAATTACATTACCTAACGAGAATTATCAAGTGGCACTAAAGACCCCAGAAAACGGATATCGGAAAACTCATTACCAAACAACCACCAGGAGAACATCATGTTGGCTGGCAATAATACGTTTGAAATCTATAGTTGCCAAGCTTGACAAGCAACTAGACAACCCAAATCGTGTGTCTGGACATGAGCAATGTAACAATAAACGGGAGCATGGCTCGCAATACAGGAGATGATCAATGATTCTCATGATGAGGCCTGTGGAAATGCCCGAACAATGTGCAATCCACCATTGCATGGAACGACGAGCTCGGAATGTCGTTTAGAATGTTCCAAATACACGTTTCAGTGTTTCTCCTGCTGTATTTTGTTATCGATTCTTCTTCCACACCTTCAAGTAGTTCTGTTGACTACTTTCATCTCATGGACATGTGCATTTCTTGGTAAAAATGTGCACAACACTACCCAGTTAGACATTTTGATCGATGACGATATTTCGTTAAGCCGTTGATGTTCATCAAGCATGCCGCGCTGTTGTGAGTTCACCTACTAATAATTTGCTCCAGTGTCTGGTTTGGATAGAAGATTGTGCAACTACTGTTGTGGAACACGGAAGCGAGTAGTCGAAGGATTTCAATCTCGGGCAATCACTTGGGAGGCGGATTAAACATGACAGGATTTTAATTAGTCAAACAAAGAATAAGCTTACTCTCTATTGTTAATTGATCATTGAAAAGAACATCTAGACGAAACTGGAATCTGTAAATCATATCACCCATCATGTGAACTGTTTAGCAGCACCGGAATAAAGCGAGCAGAACTGTTAAACAATGATTCCTCTACATGAAGGTAGTTATATACTACTGATGAGATCTATCAAGAGTGAAGCCTGGAGTTTTCAGTTCTTCATGAATGTATGAGAGGGGGGAGTGAACTCCGATTTTC